TTATAAGGGAAACCTCTTCTAAATATATATATATATATATATATAATCAGAGGAAACCTCTTCCCGTCCAGTCCATGTCTGCTTGCTCTCTTGATTTATGCCCCAGGGTCATAAAAGTAACATTTCTCCAACACGCTCATACATCTGTCCTATTAATCCAACATTTTTTAACATCTTTTTTTTTCTTTGGATGGTATTGGTGTGCTTCAAATGAAACTCCTCTCAGCTTGAAGCTTGTTTAAAGCAGAGCATCTCATGGTTTTGCCATCAGGCCCAGTTGTGTGCCTGGAACTGGGGTGACAGCAGGGTCATGTTTTTATGCAGGACAAATGTTTGAGTTTGTAATGTTTTTGGACTTTGCCATGCCTCCATGACCGTCATATTTGTTTAATCTTGAGAGGATTTAACTGCCACAAGATTTGTTTTCCTCTCCTGTTTCCGTTTTGTTTAGAACAAACTAAAACAAAATGTAGTTGGACACAAATCACCAGCATGACTATTGTAACATGTTAGTGTTTCACCAACATTATATCTAAAAAATCTATCATCATATTGTAGCAGTTTTCTTCCTGGTACTAAAAATGTGTTTATTTACAGTGAAATGTGCTTTTTTCAAGTGTACCCACTTGCTGACTGTGGAGTAAGCTTTTAGCTTTGCGCTAACTACTTCAATCTGTCCAGGATCCAGATTTCGCAGAGGTGCTGACAGACCTGAACAGCCGCGAGCTGTTCTGGTTGTCACGGGGTCAGCTGGAGATTGTTGTGGCGACTGAGGATCAAGATCCAAGACAAATCTTGGGCTTCATCACTGGCAGGAAATCTTGTGACAGTAAGAGATGTTTTACTTGTCAAAAACATATTTACTTTCTATAAAAACACTAGAACCTGAGGAGAATAAGAACGGGGTTTGCTGTGCGCACCTTCAGAAAGACACGCGTGAGGTGGCACATCAAACATAAAAACCACAAGAGTTTTATTATGTTCTTGTCTAGGCATACCACTATCAACTATTATAACTATTTTTCTTTAGAATAATCTATACATTTTTTTTAATTAATGTTAAAATTACATAAAAGACTAATTTTCGTTCAAACAATCAGTGCATTTTGGCATTTATGGTATCCCACTAAACCAAGTGCTAATTTAACATGACAAATAAATAAAATAAAGCTTTTACTTATTTATGTATGTAAAACCAAAGGCTAAATATTCAGCATGTCATGAGGTTATTATTGATAATTACTGTATTAAAATGGGACTGGTACTGGACATGTCAAGTAGTTCAGATGCAGATTTTTTTGTGAAAATTATGTATTTTTGAGGGTCATGATACAGGGAACTGTCCGAAGGGGTTGGCGTGTGGAAGAGGAATCCTTTTTTACAGGAATTCATTCCTTCATATGGCTTTAACTGTTTAAAATGTTAATATGGAGACTGTAACTCTGCCAAAAGTTCTTTAACTTAACTACATATTTTTTATCATACTGATGAATTTTATGAATTAATAACCTTTTGAGATCCTGATATGAGAATTTTGACTTTCTTCAAGTATGTATTTTGGTCTGTTCAGTTTATTCCTCTTGTCTTTTTCAGAAAAACTAGCTTCAAGGTAGGGCTGCCAGAAACGATTATTTTTATAATCGATTAATCACCGATTATTTTTTCGATTAGTCGACTAATCGGATCATATGTTAATTGATTATAAAACATACAGCTTATCCCGCCAGAATGCAGCTGCCATTATATAACCATGGTTAGATTTTAGCTATATGCTAACTAAAAATAATTGCTGTGGAAGGTAAGTTCTGCTCTGCAGATATTACACAGGTTTCTCTTTCATTTTCTTAAAATGATCCCACACTTTGAGCTCTGTTGTCAGGTAGCCATGATACCAGAGCCTGTCTGTATAATGTCTTGTGACGTCCACGGCCTACCCCAGTTACCACTACTGTGCATGTGTGTCAAGGACAGAAAGGCAGACGTGGCAGTGGAAGGTGTCAAAGCAGTTTGGAGAGAAAAACAAAGTAAAGAACAAAAAGAAAAAGAAAACGACTAATCGATTATTAAAAATTAGTCATCGATTATTTTAATAATCGATTAGTCGTCGATTAATCGATTAATCGTGGCAGCCCTACTTCAAGGTTCTATTTACATTTTTTAAGTATAAATTATTTATTTTTAGCAATGTTTTTTTTATAAAGTTCTGGCAAATTAAAAATATCAGAAGGATAAGACAGTCTGGCCAGAGAGGCCAGGGGCAATGAAAAACACAGGATGTGCTATTTCCACCCCTGGACACACCTTGATGCCACCTCTTTGCTCGTCAACTTGAGGCTGATTTTGTTTTTGTTTTTTTTTCTCCCTATAAATACTTTCTGTGACCGCTTTTCAAGTCTTATCACTTTGGGCAAAAACTTGTTTATAGACCTTATGTTTGGCTTGGTTTCACCACCACTGAACAGGCATGTGTGTGTTTGTGTGTTAAAAAAAAGACAGAATTTTTGCAGGCTTTCCAAGTCTCTGGAAGCATCAAAGCACACACATGGCCATTTCATGGGACACATACTTGAGCGTAATCCTGACCATCAGTTAGTCTAATTGTATAAAACACTGAAACACATTTTTTACTATAAAACATAGATATCATATGTATGCCATGCGATGATTGTTTATAAACTGCTCACACACACATGGGTACTGCCAAGGTCACCATGTGCTGGGCCTCGACTCCCCATGATGTTGCTCCACTGCTGTGATTAACAGCAGGTGATGTAATGCCTGAAGAATTCTGGCCCAAACTTCTTTCCCTTTCTGCAGTTTCGCCTCTCCCTTCATGTCTCTGTCTCTTCATCTGTTGTCTTCTTTGTGTGTTGTTGACATTCAGTTATATGTAGCATTTTTCCCTTGGTGGGCCATTTTCAAAACTTGTCTCTACCCCCCCCCCCCCCCCATTACTCATGTTCTCCTGTCCCCTTAGCTCAGTCTTTCTAATTCTGCTTCCTTCAGCAAGAGTTACGTCATTCTCAGACTGAACCTTTGTTGGTGTTTTTACTTATATCTGTTTGTCCAGCAATATGGAATCTTTTGGTGAGTAGGGCTACCCACTTTTGGAAATTGGCACACTTTTGTTCACATCATACTCAGCTATGAAACACTTTCAACTACAGCAATTTCATTGGGAAAAAAAAACTTTTATCAAACAAACAAACAAATCCGTATTTTAAGAGTTAAAAAACAGGAATTAGACAGGTTTGTATTTTGGTGTTCCACGTCCCAAGAGCCAGCTTCTGCAGCCGAGGATCAGACCGCCAGGGTCCCCTCCTTCGGCCGCCGCCCATTACACACTGCACCCGACCCCTTTGGCCCCTCCTACAGGTGGTGAGCCCGTTGGAAGGGGGACCCACGTCTCCTCTTCGGGCTGAGCCCAGCCGGGCTCCGTGGGTGAAAGCCCGGCCACCAGGCGCTCGCCATCGTGCCCCACCTCCAGGCCTGGCTCCAGAGGGGGGCCCCGGTGACCCGCGTCCGGGCGAGGGAACGCCAGATCCAAATTTTTTGATCATCATAAGGGGTCTTTCGGGCTGCGCTTTGTCTGGTTCCTCACCTAGGACCTGTCTGCCTTGGGTGACCCTACCAGGGGCATAAAGCCCCAGACAGCATAGCTCCTAGGAYCATTGGGACACTCAAACCCCTCCACCATGATAAGGTGGCAGCCCAAGGAGAGGTGGAGCCAGTTGAGGTGGCTCGGGCATCTGGTAAGGATGCCTCCTGGACACCTCCCTGGTGAGGTATTCTGGGCACGTCCCACCGGGAGGAGACCCCGAGGAAGACCCAGGACACGCTGGAGGGACTATGTCTCTCGGCTGGCCTGGGAACGCCTTGGAGTTCCCCCGGAGGAGCTGGAAGAAGTGACTGGGGAGAAGGAGGTCTGGGCCTCCCTTCTGAAGCTGCTGCCCCCGCGACCCGACCCCGGATAGGTGGAAGAAAATGGATGGATGGATGGATGGATGGATGGATGGATGGATGGATGGATTGATGGATGGATGGATTGATGGATGGATGGATGGATGGATTGATGGATGGATGGATGGATGGATGGATGGATGGATTTTGGTGTGATACTAATGTAAGTGTTTGAAGTTATGATGGCATTTTATTTTTGGCCAAGTAAAAAATAAAAAAGTGTGTATTGTTTATTTTTAAAAAATATTAATAAAACAGGGCAGTATTTAAGTGAAAACCTGCACTTGTATGTAGCTGTTTAATGTGCACTGTAAAAAAATATAAACCAAAACCTTTTCTTTCTTTAGAGACACTAAAACTAACATTGGTATTAAATGTAAAGATTTGAAATGATGCTCACAGAAATAATTTTGTCATTTGACCTGATTTTTTGAATTATTTTCAAAATTTGTAAGCAAAATATTCTCACTTTAAAAAAGGACATTCAATTAAATAGACAAAAGTATCTTAAACAACATTTTCCTAAGTAGCTGCAGCAAACACAAAAGTTTCTGTGTCCAACATCTGCAGAACAACATCATTTTTCTGTATTGTATTGACCAGAGATTTTCAACTGGTGGATTGTGCAACCCTAACTCCAGTGAAGTTGGGATGATGTGAAAAAAGAAAACCCAAATATAAACAGAATATGATGATTTGCTAATCTTTTTCAACCTATGAATTCGCTACAAAAACAACACATTTAATGTTCAAACAGATAAACCTTACAGTTTTTTTAATATTCATTCATTTTGAATTTAATGCTGCAACATGTTCCATAAAAGCTGTAACGGGGTCATGTTACCCTCTGTGCTCCATCAGCTTTCTTTCTAACAACACTCATTAAGTGTTTGTGAACTGAGGACACTAATTGTTGAATCTTTGTAGCTGGAATTCTTTCATTCTTGCTTGATGAACAACTTCAGTTGCTCAACAGTCCAGGGGTCTCTTCATTATGCTCCACACATTTTTAATGGGAGACAGGTCTGGACTGCAGGCAGGCCAGCCTAGTACCTGCACTCTTTTACTCTGAAGCCTTGCTGATGGAACACGTGCAGGATGTGTCTTCATTGTCTTGCTGAAATCAGCAGGACATCCCTGAAAATGATGCAGCTTGAATGGCAGCATATGTTGCTCCAAGACCTGTATGTAGGTTTTAGCATTAATGATGCCTTCACAGATGTGAAATTACCCATGCCATGGACACTAATACTCCCCCATACCATCAGAGAGGAAGGTTTTTTAACTTTGCACTGACAACAGTCTGGACAGTCCTTTTGCTCTTTGGCCTGAAAGACGCAATGTCTATGATTTCTAAAAAACAATTAGAAATGTGGACTTGTCAGAACACAGGAGACTTTTCCGCTTTGTGTTGGTTCATCTCAGATGAGCTCAGGTCCAGAGAAGCCGGTGGTGTCTCTGGGTGTTGTTGATTTATGGCTTTGTCTTTGCATGGTAGAGCTTTAACTTGTAGATGTAGAGATGAGCAGTGTTCACTGACACTGGTCTTCGGAAGAGTTCCTGAGCCCATGTGCTAATACCTGTTACAAAATGACGGTTTTTAATGCAGGGCTGCCTGAGGGGTCAAAGGTCACGGGCATCTAATGTTGATTTACAGCCCTGCTGATTACTTGCAAAGATTTGTTCAGGTTTTCTTAAGGACTGCAGATGATGAAATCCCTAAATCTTTTTGCAATTGTACATTGAGAAATGTCGTACCTAAACTGTTGAATCATTTGCCAGGAGTGTTTTGTGCTTTCCTCTACTTTCCTAGTGTTTTGCTGTCCCTGTCCCATCTTTACTGCAGACATCAACTTCAAAATGGGTGAATGTTTGCAAAAACCAATAAAATACAATTTTGTTTGTTTAAAACTGAAGAGAAATCATTATGAGGTGATTGAGAACCAGTAGACGAGCTCAAACTAGGTCTTAAAGACAAAAAAAAAATGTTCCTTCTTCCCCCTGCTTCCTCTTCCTTTCTTAGGATTTTTTCTTCGTTTTAATGTCACAAATTCCTCTATAATTAAATCTGACATCCACACATAAGACTAAGCAATTCACACTTCAGATATTCTACCTCACATATTCTAATCACTGATAGCAATTTTTATTTTCTTCTGGAGTTTTTTTGTGCAATTTTTCATTAGTTTTGTTAAGAAGCGATGGTTGTGGGGATTTTTTTAACCACGTTGTTATTATTTCTCATTAGTCATAGGTCACAAAACATGTGACTTCTGCGTAATGAGTGTTAAATTCTATTTAGGCTGAAGCAGAACATCTGGCTCTTAAAAATAAAAAAACACAATACTTTCTTTATCAGTTTAATAAGAAACATGTCTTTCTGGTTCCAACTAGGAGACGATTTCTTATTTTAAGAGACAGCTGGCAACCCTTCTGAAGAATATTAGATATATGACTTTATTGTTGGAGAGTAGCTGCAGAACATGGAGGCAAACATAAATTTTTATTATGACAGAAGTCTTTACCACATCTTACATGCAGTCAGGCTGTGCTCTGGTTGTTTGGGTATAGAAAGTGTAATGGTTGAAGTAATTTACCTGAGCAGAATTTTGAATGTTTATCTGATTTTGTTTGGCTCAGCTATTCAGAGTGTGATGTCCAGTGGGGATGCGCTGACCCCAGGGAAGACGGGAGGAGTGGGATCTGCAGTCTTTAACCTCAATGATAACGGAACATTGGAATACCAGGTACAAATTTATTTGCTTCCAAAGGAAAATAACTTGAATAAAGAAAATTTTTTGTTTTGTTTCTATCGTATCTTTGTGTTTGATTATGGTAAGTTCACCTAAAGTGTTGTAGTGTGTTGCACTTGAGTCATTATGGGCATATTTATAAACAAACAAGTTTAATCGTCTTCAGTTCTAATATTTTGACCCCTGTCTAACCTAAGATCAGTTGGGTATGGTGGCCAGCTTCAATCGGACTAATTAAAATCTGTTTGGTGGTTCATGAATTATTTTGCTAACGGACTGACAGACAAACCCACACAGCACGCAGAGACAATGGGGACCTTCAGTCGTGACGTCACGCACATCATTTGCTTACATTATCTGCCAGTCTCTCAAAAGATCGGACAGATGGACTAGATTCTACTGAGAGTCAGGGTTAATACCATAACCGAAAAATACATTCCTAGAGCAAATTTTGACACATCCAAAATCAGGAAAATAGAAAAGTTCAATTGAAAGGTTGTGTGGAGGGTCGAGGTCTTCGACAGACTTGGAAAGCAAGCAAAATTGTAAAAAGGTTGATGTTTTTACCCATGTTTTATAGCTTAGCATGCTGCACCTATTGTCTGTGTGTGTATTATCTAACACATTTTGACTCCCGATTGGTCACATATTGAACCTCGTCCATGTTCCCTCTGGGTCCATGTTTCTGGTGCGGGGCTTTTCCGGGTTCGTACCACATAGGGTTTTTGAGTTGGGGTCCATGGTTAATATTAGGGATCAAGATTACTGATTAATTTTACGTGGTGAGGTCAGGGATAGGATCTGTAGGGCTAATAGAAGTTAAATTTAGGGTTTAGAACAAAGGGTTTAGTTCTCAGGCATTTTCTACACTTTTCAAAAATATGACAGCTGGCTCCTCCTTGCTCTCTTCTCGTCAATAACTGATGGTAGGGGGCTACCTGATGCATCAAAACTGAACACAGAGGGAACCCTGGACAAGCATCAATATGTGACGAGTTGGGAGTGAGAGTGGGTTGTATTATTGCTTAAGCCACCACCTCTGCATTGTTTAAAGAAACATAATAGTGATGTTTAGAATTTGTGTAAGTATGATATTATCACTGTATCTGTGATTGACTGCAGTAGATTGCTATATGGGGCTAGCATGGATGCTAGGAGTAAAGTTAGCAATAGGCTACAGCAAAAGCAATGGCTGTGTCCAAAACGGCAGGACGGGTCCTCCGGAGGACCCAGACTCCCTGGTCTCGGCAGGCCGGGTCCTTGGTAGACCGGGAAGACCGGAAAAAAGAGGCTGTGGATTTGGACGGTCTAGCCTCCCGTCCTTACCCCGGCGTACGTCTTGTCACCTAGCAACTGTGACGACGCTAAACAAGCAAACTTAAATCAAAACTAGAAAAATATCAATACATTAGCATTATTAATATCACAAAACTATAAAATTAACTTAAAAGTATCATTTGAAGAACTAATTGACCCGCTGTAGGTTCATCTTTATTTCGCGTTTTTTATGACGAAAAAATAATAATTAAAAACATGTCCATACAAATGATAAAAGTATTAGAATTATAACCGCTAATTTTTTTTAATTTTTAAATCACCATATTTTTATTTAAAATGTATTCTTTTCTCTCGCTTCGTCCGCCATTACTAGCTTAAAAAAATCTCCGGTCGGGCCGCAATGCATTATGGGATATGCTGGGCCGGGAAGGATCCATCAGACCTGTCCTTCGATTCGGGGAAAAAGAAGGACGTATTTCTCGGACGCATCGGAGGAGTCTTCCGTTTTGGACGTCCTTCGTCGCGGCGCTGTGACGTATGCAGCCGACAAATTCGACCTTCGGAGGACCCGTCCTGTTGTTTTGGACACAGCCAATGTTTATTTTACCTGTTTATTGTCAGAAAGGGATAGGATTAGGGTGGTCCAGTGTTAGTCTTTTATAAATTTAAATAAAATTTATTAAAACATTTCATAAAATGTTTTGAGCAGACATTAAGTCCATGGTTGCACTTTTTTCCGGTCAAATTCTGCTTGTCACATCATTCAAATCCAGCCTAGCATCTTAGCTTGAGAAAAGTGATCAAAAATACTCCTCCCATGTAGGGATGATGGCTGTATCCTAAGCAGTGGTGTGCCGTCAGGGCCAGCAAAGCCTTCTCTGCTGGCCTAAACACAATCAGAATCACTACATTATAGAATATTTAGTATTTATTATAACAATTATTAATATTGATATGAGGGTATTATTAATTTTGAATCATCTGTTCTCTTCGTTTCATAGTTTTTCTCCTGGCTAAACAGCTTCCAGCAACTTGTATTTATTTAGAGCTTTTATCCAATCATATTTCGATCATCATTAGGGCTGCCACGATTAGTCGATTAGTCGACAACTAATCGATTATTACATTATTACATATTACTTTACAATCAGAGCTCCTTTTTAAAAAAATAAAAGTTTAAATGCTGGAGCTCAATACTTGACGTAATTGGTCGAAGGAATCGATCAAGGGGGTTAGAGACTTAGAAATGATTTAAAGATGTTATGCTGATGAAGACTGACATCTAGTGGTCAACTGGAGCAACTGTGCTTTCGTTTCCCATCACAAATCAAATCCGTCATGCACCCAGAATGCATCGCTTCAGTTTTCCAATAAACTGTTTTAAAATTACTTTATTGATGCATCTTTAATGAGAAAAATACAACAAAGACCAAGAACTAGCAATCCTCAACAACTTTTTAATTTTTGCACCAGGAGCTAAAGGTCTGTTTCAGGAAATCACATCCCCGGCAATTGCCGGTTGTAGAATTAAGTTGTAAAACAGTTCATACACCGCTAGTTGGCAGTGTTGTGCATACAGTATATTGTACATGAATTGTTGCCAGCTACTAAGTGTCATGCACCCAGAATTCATGCACCTAGAATGCATCGCTTCAGTTTTCCAATAAACAGTTTTAAAATTACTTTATTGATGCTTTTTTAATGAAAGTTATACAACAAACAAAAGAAAAAGACAAAGAAGCAGCCGAACTAGCAATCCTCAACAACTTTTTAATTTTTTGCACCAGGAGCTAAAGGTCTGTTTCAGGAAATCACATCCCCAGCAATCAGCGATTGTAGAATTAAGCTGTAAAATAGTTCATACACCACTAATTGGCAATGTTGTGTATATATTGTACATGAATTGTTGCCAGCTAGTAAGTGTCAAATTGAACTTGCGCTTTAAAATTAGCTTCCGCTAGTTTTTCTATGGCATAAGCACTTTTGAAGTTGTGGACCTAAATATTTTCATCAGTGCTTTAGAAATTGCGGAGCTAATTTTTGGACTAGCACTGCCCACCACTGCAGAAAATTAAAACGTATAACAAAAATACAGAACAGACCAGACTGGACTTTCAGTGTTAGCTTAATGGTGGTGATAGAAAAGTACTTATTGTTGAAATGGAAATGGGAGGACCTGTGTGACAGAGGAGCCAGGTTTTTCTTTAGGAATAAAAGGAGAATGGAGTTTTTAAATGGATAATATAAAGTTTCGGTGAGTAAAATATATGTTATTTAAATGTTTTATTTAGTCATATACAGTAACCATATTGATGCTGTTAATGCGTGGCACAGCTGTAGCTGCAGTTGAGAAAACTTGTTAAGTGTGTCGCTTCAGTGACGACTGAGACACCTGTCTGTGGTGCAGAGACACCTGTCTGTGGTGCAGAGACACCTGTCTGTGGTGCAGAGACACCTGTCTGTGTGGTGCAGCAGCATATTGTTCTGCGTTTCTGTGTATTATTGGTGGTTTTTGTAGCCGTGGCTTTGTGTCAAGTTGTACAGATTGTCTGTAAATTAGACAGGTTTTGCATACAGACCTATAGGACTGTCTTGGCAGCCTCTCCCTCCCTGCTCTTTCTGCCACTGCGGACTCCGCAGTCAGCAGCGTCCCCCCACCCCACCACCACCAGCATCTCCAATTGAAGGCCTAGGTGTAAAATGCACGACCCGCCACTGATCCTGAGTCACTGTTACAAGAATTGTAGCACAATGTTTTGTGGTCCTCCCGGTGGAGTTTGATGATGTTTTCCTGAATTTATTGAAGTTTAAACACAACTCAATTGAAATCAATGAAGTTGGTATGAGAGTTTGTACACGTACCAGTGTTGAGCGGTCGTAGTCACATGACGAGTGTTCTAAAAATAGCCTGAGAGTTCCTCATTGCATGGTCGCCCAACTTTCATGGTGATAAAAATCAGTTATGATGCTTCTAAATTTTTCTTGTTGATTGTTTCGGAATCAAGCCAATCCAAACATGCGTTGAACAACAAGAAGCCATCAAAATTTAAGTTCTTGTAAACACTTTTAAAGGAACATATCAGAGGTCATCTTCGAATTTTGATTTGTAATTTTCTAGAAAAAAAAGATAGTTACCAGTTAAATTGAGTGGTTATGCTAATGTAACAGTCATATTTTTCTACACATTTTAGTGTACTATAACATTTATATATGTATATATAAAATTTTCTTTCTCTATCCGTCAGGTTCAGGTTGCAGGTCTCAGCAGTGATGTAGTCGGCCTGACGATAGAGCTGAAACCACGACGTCGAAACAAGCGCTCGGTCCTTTACGATCTAACACCCGAGTTCAGTCAGACCTCGGGACAGGCGGTGGGCAGCTGGAGTCGTCTGGAGGCTCGACACATCCACATGCTGCTGCAGAATGAGCTCTTCATCAATGTGGCTACAGCACACAGCCAGGAGGGGGAACTCAGGGGCCAAATCAAGGCCCTGCCATACAGCGGCTTAGAGGTGCCCAGACAGGGTATGTACCGATAATGTTTGAAGATACTTTTGACCGCTTTGGAAATTTGCTGAATGTTTAGTGTTTATTTAAAGGTTCCCCATTAGTTTCCAAAGAAGCAGAGACTATTCTTCCCGGGGTCCAACAATGGGTCCTGTTTATGCTTGCCCTTCATTTATCCAGACCAAGAAACCTTTTTCTGTCTCCTTCAGGATTGCCTACCCCTCTAGCTGGCCACTTCTTGTCTCCACCAGTAAGAACAGGAGCTTCTGGCCACGCCTGGGTGTCAGTGGACAAACAGTGCCACCTGCACTATGAAATAGTAGTCGCGGGTCTGAGTAAGAAGGAGGACGTCACTGTGAATGCCCACCTACATGGACTGGCTGAGATCGGGGAGCTGGACAACAGCAGCACCACACACAAGAGGCTGCTGACGGGCTTCTATGGCTCCCAGGTACATCGCTTTAAATCCAGGCACCTACTCATAAAACCCTCTGATGCACAGTTTATTTTTCAGTGATTTTTTTATTGTTGTTGTTGTTGCTGTGATATTCATAGTAATCAGATTATAATACTTAGGAATATTCAAAGAAAGTACTGCACAACATTTGACCCACACAAGTATAAAAAATGTATACATGGTCTTTTTCTCCTGTCTCGGTCAAACCCCCATCTCCCATCCCCCTCTTCCCCAGGCTCAGGGAATTTTAAAGGACCTTAGTCTTGAATTACTGCAACACCTGGACCAGGGAACGGCCTTCATCCAAGTCAGCACCAAGCTGAATCCCCAAGGAGAAATACGAGGACGGGTAAGTCATGAAATGCTCCACTTTTACATTAAGATTTGTGCTTGTAAAGCATGCAAGCATAAGATGTACGGGCTTAACAACTTTTTGTTTTGGTTTGTGATTGCACTTAACAGACAAAAAAATAAATAATAAAAGCAGTCTCTTTAGTGTCTTTTAATCACCCGAAGCTTTATGAGGCTGTGTGATTATTTTCACTGACAGGTGTTGTTTTCCTGTTGAAACTTTAGAGAAAAGTTCCTTTTATTGGGCTACTGAGACATGCAAACCAAACGCAGATGCCCATAAACTTTACAAGTGTGTAGGTTGATCAGCTTTTGTTGGCTGTCAGGACCCATATGTAAACTTTCACAACAGTAGGACCCAGCTGTTTTATTAAAAGATGGAAGTAAACTCCATAAATGACCATTTGGTGGACAGAAATGCTGCATTTCTGTTTTTAATGAGTACGCCTGAGAGGCAACTTTGAGGTGTGTTGTCAACAGATTCTTTTCTCTCTTTTATTTTTTCCTAATCTTTTTTCATCTTATTTTTTAATGACACATTTTATCCTCTTCTGTCATTCTTTTTTTCCAACTTCACCTTCTTTTGTTTTCCAACACATTTTCTTTCCTCAGGTCCATGTTCCAAACAGCTGCGAGTCTGGAGCCGGAGCCGAGGTGGAGGAGGCCGAGTTGGATGACACGTTGCTGACAGATCCCGAGGAACTAAAGAAAGACCCCAACACTTGTTTTTTTGAGAACCAGCACCACGCTCATGGTTCCCGCTGGACGCCTAACTATGACAAGTGTTTCACCTGCAGCTGCCAGGTGAGAACAAAACATAAAGATTGTTCAAATACAGAAAAATGCATGTTCCACATTTTAATAATTAAACATTTATCGGAGATTTTAAAAGTGCTCATATTAGCAAATAATAATATGAGAAGTTTTTTTTTTCTGTAGAAGAGGACAGTAATCTGTGATCCTGTCATCTGTCCCGTGTTGACCTGCTCCAGAACCATTCAGCCTGAGGACAAGTGCTGTCCCATCTGTGATGGTGAGGGCCGTCTGGATTGTTTGGTTTAAGTAGACCATTGGTCAATTGGCTGATACCCTGTAGTTAATAAAATAGTATTGTGATGTGTTGTCTTGCCATAGCTATTCAGATTCAAGTTTGGTTTCAGAAATTATTCATTTACATTTGAGTGAAGTCCAAAAACACTCTAGTACATATTGAGAGGATTCAAAGTATTTGTGTTTTTTTTTCTTCCTGTTTCTCTAACAGAAAAGCGAGAGCCCAAAGACATGAAAGCTGGAGAGAAGGTGGAAGAACATCCTGAAGGTTGGTGTTCTTCTTTACTGTTTGGATTTCTCCCTTTTTGTTAAAGTGGGTTTCTGAAAGCTAGATATGCACAATTAAACTCTCACTTTCTGTAGATAACTACTTGAATGTTCTCAGTTTCAAAGTTCACATATCAGTTGAGTTCAGCTTTACCGTCTATCAAAAGGAAATTTGGGTTTAAAGTGAAAACACAACTGAGACAATAAACAATAAAAACAACAGAAAAGTAGCAGTACTTTGAGTATCCTGGTTGGAGTTCATTTACCTTTTAGTTGTGGCTTAAGGGATCTCTGCCCCCAAGGAAAAATGAATTCCTGACAAAGACGGGGATCAGGACTGAACAGTTTAGACAGAGCTTTCAGCAAAATGTGTCTGTAATAAATTTGTGCAAGAGAGTTCTGCACACCAACTATTTTACTGGCTGGACTGAATGGAGCGAGGACCAAAGTGGATTGACGTCATCGTGAAACCGCTCCAATCTGAAACATTATAACAGCAGTTCTCAAGGGGGCTTTTTAGAAACCTTTACATGGTGGTTAAATGCACAAAACACAGTTGTTTACAAGAACTTTGTTTTGTTTATTTATTTTTTATTTTATTATTACTTTTTTTACAAACATAAATGGCACCATCTTGTTCAGAGCACTTTTTGGGGCACGCTGCAAACTGTGATGGGTGTCGTTTAGATGACAGTAGCCGATTTTGTCAGTGGGTCTAGTGGAACTTTGCTGTTGTCTCTAAAGTTATTTAAACCTTTACACCGTAGCCAGTTTGCATTAACCTCCTTGGACCAGGCATCATGTCAGTGTGCCACAGGCCTGCAATGCAAGAGTTCGGGTCTTAGGAGGTTTAACGGTTCCACTTGACATGAGTTCTGGATGCCCCTGAAGCATTACATATGTACTGCTGGTGGTGTTTAGTAGAACTGTAACAAGATTTCTTGTCAACGTTAAAATATGTCTCATGAAGCCAAGTTGGAGTCAAGGACTTGGAAAAATCAAAAAGGGAAATGCCACTCAGATGAAATTGTGACCAAACATTCAAGTGTGCATCACCAAAGACTTTTTGTCCACATACAGTTCATGTTTGAAGATTTTTTTTAAAAATTGTTAACGTTGCATTTTGTTTTGGATCTGTCTCATCATTACACTGTTAATGGCTCTTTTTACCATCTGTTGTTAATAAACTTCATTTTTTTCTCTCTCAGGGTGTTACTTTGAAGGAGATCAGAAAATGCATGCTCCAGGAATATCATGGCATCCGTTTGTTCCTCCATTTGGCTACATTAAATGTGCTGTCTGCACCTGCAAGGTAAATAAATAACAATAAAACCAGCTTTGATTCATTGGATTCACATTCCAAGAAGTCTAAAAGAGTTTTACATTTAAGCACGATTTGTTCTGCATCAGCTGTTAATTATTATTAATTTTGTTAACAGGGGTCTTCAGGGGAGGTCCACTGTGAGAAGGTGACGTGTCCAGTGTTGGTCTGCAGTCACCCGGTGAGGCGTAATCCCTCAGACTGCTGTAAGGAGTGTCCGGAGGAGGAGAGGACCCCTGCAGGCCTGCGGCACACTGACATGATGCAGGCAGACGGTCCGCGGCACTGTAAATTTGGAAAGAACTATTACCAGAACAGTGACAGTTGGCACCCCTGGGTGCCGCTGGTGGGCGAGATGAAGTGCATCAACTGCTGGTGTGACGTAAGCAGCTACGCAGCAAAATGTTGTGGTGTTTCTGAACATGTGGAGCTCGTTTTTATGTCTTGTTAAGTGTTTTCTGACTATTTTTGTATCGGCAATAAGCCAAACAATGAGGAATATTATTACAGACATGAGGGGATTTATTATGTGTTTCAAGCCCTCTCATCCCTGCATCCCGGAGGTTCTTTTCTGCTGATTTTTCATTGTATGATCTTGACCAGATGCCTCTGGTCTTCAGTGTTTTGTTGTTTTTATTTGTCAGGGATTTAAGCAGCCCAATTAAAAAAGGAACATTTTAGCAGTTATCAAATAATCAATATTTATCAACACAAAAATCCCTATGGCTCCCCAGTTTTATAGACATAGAGCTAAATAATATTTGATGTGGTTGAAGCCGAATGTCCTTCACAAAACATAATTTGAAGGTGACTTAACAATAGAAAATATAACATTATTTTAAAAACGTACATTTCTCAACATAAGATGATTTTAGTCCAAAACACTGACAGCGGGCGACGTATTCCTTCAAGGAATGCGAGATCTTCCACAAAAGGGAACAAAAATGGAGAGTGGATGTTGGAATGAATAGATTCAGTTAAATGTTTTGTAAGAGCTTTTCTTTTCCTACTTGAACCTCATTTTGTCTCTGTGACCTCTGACCTTCATCCTTCCTGTCTTCTTGTCTCCAGCACGGGGTGACTAAGTGTCAGAGGAAACAGTGTGCGGTGCTGACCTGCTCCAACATCACTCGCACCGAGAATTCCTGCTGTCCTGAATGTGCTGGTAAATATTGATCTTTCTCACACACACACACTCACACACACACACAAGTTTGTATTTCTGTTAGCAATGCACCAATTTATCAGCCTGCAGATTTATTGGCACAGATTTCCCTAATTTTAGATCGGAGATCAGCTGACACTGGAAAAGATCAGATTCTCATCTATACCTCCACAAAGGTCTGAAAATCAGCCACAGTCCCCTTTTGCTCTGCTGTGAGCAGTGATGCCCAGTTAAAACAATTTTGTGCTGTTTCAGGAGTATTGTTCAATGTTCTTCACTAAAATAAGATTGGAACATTGAAGTTGTAACACCTGACAGAGTCAGTTATTTCAAAAATCGGAATGACAGACCAAACCTTTTAAAGATCGTCCAGAAAACTGCAATGTGTGCACTCCTAATGTCTGTCCTTATTAGGACCGTTCATTTTCAGTTGTTTCTATAGCTTAAACTTGACCCTTTACCTCTGCCCCACATCCATACATACCTACCTCTAAACCTAACCTAAACTCAGTTCACACCTTAAGCTTGGATTATACCTCAGTACGTGAGACAGCGGGGTGGAGACTGCGTAATTTTGGATGTCTTTTTCCTGATAGAGTATAAATGAGCTGAAGATGCGGCAGACTATAAATGATCATAGATCCTCCCTCTGCCCTCCCACAGCTCATATAAGTACATAAACAGTTATAAAGATGGCTGGATATTGTTTTTATTTATTTATTTATGTATTTATTTATTCATTTATTATTTTTATCACTCAATGATCAGTGGGTGAAGTAGAGTCTGTGGTGGAAAACCTTTTTTTTAATGGTGGTTGTTATGGTAATATTTATTTAACAAAGACAGAAATACGTGGTCCAAGAATGAAGGTACTCCGTGAGATGATCAGCTGGGTTTTATTGCAACAACAGGAAATACAGAGAACAACCTGGCCTGTCTCTGTGCCTCTGCTTCCCTCTGTCACTGTCTCTCCACACTGTCCACTTGAGAGGCCTCATATATATTAACAAACACCATTATGTCATCTTAGCAAGATTTGATACAAGGTCAATGGAAAACACAAAGATAAACACAAGTGATATCTAAGAATGACTGTTGTTAGCAAATCTTGTTCTGACTTTTAATCATTCTGTCTGCAGATGAACAGCATGTCATGAAAACCTAGGTCATTAAAGGATGTCATGAATTACTGGCTTAAACAAAAAAGTATTAGTTCTATTACAGTGTGATGGCAAAAAGTTGGAAAATCTGAAAATCAGCTGCCTTTCAGCAGGATCAAATCAGCTGCTTTTCCAGCTCTTTTAACAACTGGCTTCCAAAAAAAATGTTTTAAACAAAAAACGCTGCAGAAGGCAGAGCTTATCAGAGTCCTGCTCCTCAGCGCTGCTAGAGCTCTGCAGTGCTCCTCATGCATTCATGTCAACCTCTTTGGACGTTTACCTGTATAAAGAGCCCCAGAAATCCGTGAATTTCGCCGCCTGCTGCACTGCTGGAGGAAAGAAGAGAGGAAAAAGTTCAAAACTTATTTCTAGCGGCAGAACAGGTTGGAAGATGGCTGTTTGATGTTATTTATTGTTTTTTAAATCATCCTACAGGCTCTGACATGTTAGATAAATTTGAAAATGAGGTTTTGAAAAAATCCGTAAGACTTGAAAAAATCGGTGAGATTGCTCTTTACGTCCGTATACCTGCAAAATGACGTAAAATCCTCATAAGTTACGGACAATCCGTACAAGTTGACATGTATGCTCATGAACAAACACACCCACAAAGTTCAAACCAATCACGCACTCTAAGCTGCAAAGTCCACATCTCACAGTTCTGACTGGGGGCAATGCACAAGATGTCTGTCACCGGGAGAGAGACAGAACTTGTGCAACTTTTTGTCACTCAGCAGGGGGAACGAGACGTGAAGTATAACCTTTAGTCCTAAATCGAACCCCCAACCAAAAAATGGAGTTCCACCATATTAGGACAGGTCTTTGGTCCCCATAAGGACCAATGGTGTTCACAAGGTAGGTGTGTATACCAGAAATCATCTTAAAAAGGTAACAAATACAAATACACACAATACAAAAGTATGTGGACAAAGCACTGTACATAACGTGCCATCAACACTGTATATTTTATGACCCGTTTCAACAGTTGTTTTTAATGCTTTTAATTTTGAACATTGCTGGTAGGACAAACCAGTTTCTCTCCTTAAAAATTCTATTCTATTCTATGTAAAACTTGGCACATAAATCTTATGTATGTGTAAAGTAATTTAAAAGTTGCCTTAGTTTTGTAACAGCAGTTTTGGCTTATACATGTCTGTTGATGTTCTGGGTAGATTCCAAAGAGCAAGATGACCTGATGGTGAAAACACCGGACAGAAGACGAGCCTGGAGACACTAATGTTTTGGACTGCACTCACTGCAAAGACAAATCCCCTTTCTCTTAGCCCTTCAGCACCCTCCTCCTTCTTATCCCACACCCCAGAACAGCACACTGGGGTCTCCTATCCTCACCTCCTCTGACCCAACACCCACCCTGAGATCAGCTTCAAGATTGTAACAAGGAAAGACAAAATGGACAAGAGAGGAAGACAGAAACAAAAGACTTAATAAGTGAAGAGTCAAAGCTTTGAAGAGGACCAGCCCAACCTTATTTGCCTTCTGCTTCCTGCCCTTCAGTGTTTGTCAGAGTTCAACAGAACACTGGAAATCCAGGGAAGGTGTCAAAAAGGGATTGAAATCCAGCTGGATTTGAAAAAGCAAGTGTTGGAGGGACTGAAGGATTCAACTTAACTGAGATTCTCTTTGAAGCCCAGCCAGCACAAATGAGACTGTCACTGGACATATAGATGAAGAAGGTTGCTTAAATCTGGGCCAGTGCGTGTATTTATGTGTGACTTTTCTTCTTTAGGTTTTTGATAAAAAGGCTTCTCTACCCATCTGTTTTATTGAAAGAATATATTTCCACTCAGTATCACTCCTGTTGCAGATTAAAATCAGAACTTGGAAACATTTCCCGCTGGTCTTCGTTCTTCAGATTGTGTTGTTCCTGTTTTTTTATTATCTTTTTTTACTCATTGTGAAGTTTGTAGCAGGTTTGTATTTTGTATTTATTGAACAGTGTGGGAACAAAATAAAAAGCTTTTTTATTTGGTAAAAGTAGAATGTTTGTTCCTCTTCTATCCGTTTACATTTTCTTGCATCTGTTTTACTTTTCCAGTTTAGATATTTTCCTCGTTCACATACTTACATATATCAGAGGACAAATAAGCCAGACACACTGACTTCACTTAATGTTTCTGTTTCCAGCCTGCATTTCTTCCCCACACCATCCTGTCTTTGATGCCCTATCACTTTTTTTATTTGTTCTTTCTCTTTTTCTCTGAGCTCAACTTCCTTGCTTGCTTTTCCACCCTGTCAGCACATGTGGTCTCTAATGTGTCATATATACACCTCTCCATGTGGCCTATGCACACAGGCAAACACACACACAGAGTTCACACAGACTGAAACATAAACACAGCTTCACACATGTACACAAGTCCAAACTCCTGCAATCTGAACACGAAATTCTTTCCAACAGACCTATGAACTCTACTGCACTCTGCTGGTCAAGTATATCATTACACCAATAAAAAACTGTGCGCGCGCGCGTGTACTTGTTTTGGCTACAGAGTGAGAACCATGTTAGGTTTTTAATCAACTTAAAGGTCATTTTTGGAAAGTGAGGACATTTTCCCTATCCTCACTTTGTTTGCAGCTCTGCTTTAGGTTTAGGGGTATGGTGTGAATTAAGTTTTGATTCAGGTTAGGGTTCACTGGAGACCTGTAAAGGTTAATTTTAGGGAAAATGTCTGGAAATGAATGGAAATCAATACAAAGTCCTCAGTTTTATGCAAATACCAGGATGTGTGTGTGGGGAGGTTGTTTTTGGTGACATTTGGGGGCAACTTTAAGACAAAATGCCTACCTTTGGGGACAACTGGTGCATTTGGAGACAAAAGTCGAGTCCCCATTTGGTTTAAATGCCATTGGTGGGTTGGGGGTTCGATTTAGGACCAAGATGTGAGTTGAGTTTAGGTTAGTTTTAGGGTCAGGTAGGTACCTGTGAGGTTAGCCTTAGGGTCAGGTAGGTACCTGAGAGGTTAGCCTTAGGGTCAGGTAGGTACCTGTGAGGTTAGCCTTAGGATTTGTGGTCAGGGTTAGAAATGTAATGGAAGTCAATGAAATGTTCCCAAATGGATAGCTGTGCAAACTTTGTGTGTGTGTGTGTGTGTGTGTGTGTGTGTGTGTGTGTGTGTGTGTGNGTGTGTGTGTGTGAAAGGCATGTTGAGAAGTCATAGTTGAGTCCTATTATAAGATTTATTTTAAGCTGTAAGATTTTATTTGTTTGGTCTTTTAATTTGTTGTTTTTATTAACTTCATAATGAAATAAATGAACTCAAAAACTGACACCTACAGAGAATTTAACTGACAATAAAAAATGGTGGTTTTACATGATTTGGACAGTGTTGCAATCTTCCTTCCTTCCTTCCTTCCTTCCTTCCTTCCTTCCTTCCTTCCTTCCTTCCTTCCTTCCTTCCTTCCTTCCTTCCTTCCTTACACAAGAACATTCCCTCTTTCTGATTTCTGATTTTAAGCACAATTTGAATAAGACTACATCAAATCAGTGTTTAAAATCTATGCATAACTAGTTGAATGTTTTGTACAAATGTGAAGAGAATGCCATTAAAAGTTGACAAGGTTCTAAATTAAGGCATCTATGACATTTTGGTTTCTTGGTCAGACACACAAGATTTCATTGAGATTTCATTTTTAAAGCCGTCACAGAAACAAGGAGGATGAAGTAGCTTGAAAGGACCGTGTTTTTCTAAACATTACAAAAACACACACGTTTTCAAGCTGTCTCTAACAATCAGAATAAATGGTGGAGAGAAAACATAAATAAATTTACCTCTGATCTGATCTGAATCTGATTAAGCTGTTGTGTGTAAGATTTTGGAGCCCACTACACTCACACCCCTCCAGTTTAACTGTACCTTCAAGTGAGTTCCCCAGTTGGAGGACCTTCCAGTGCCTCTGCTAAGATCTTCAGGAGGACTGGACCCATCTGCCTTCATTCATATAGACACAACACCTGTCCCCTCACTAGAAGGCACAGGGGAACTACCCTCTCATCTACAGGAATAGTTGAATGCCCAGCCAGGGGGTCATAAGTAGGTCCCCACCAGCCCTGCACCTCATTGTGAGCAACAGAGTCAATAAGGTCCAATCCTTCTCAAAGATTGGTTCAAGATTGGTTCCAGAACCCACACTGTGCGCCGAGGTGAGTCCAACTACATCTAGTCAGTTCCCCTCAACCTCATGAACAAGCTCTTCCCCACTAAAGAGGTTCTATTCCATACTTCAATAGCCAGCTTTGATAAAGCTAGGGTCAGAGTGCCAAGACTTCATCCATAGCACTATGCACACCACCTGTATGACCCCTCAGGTCACACAGTGGTGAACTCACAAGAAGCGGTGGTTTCTCTTATAAGGAACAAAAAGTGATGGTCGATGTTGGCTTCACTCGACAGGCTTCCTGTCTCTTACAGCGAACAGTCTGGCCTCATCCTAAGTGTCGTAGATTAAGAGTCCAGAATAGTTTTGAAAACTTCTTAGGGTTGTTGTGTTCTTGGATACAAGTCAAAGAATCGATACCAACAGCTGATCTAATCTTTTTATCTGTTGTTCACTCCTGTTCTCTGGTGTGTTTTTTATAGAAGAATGCATTTCTCTATATAAGAACTGCTCATAACTTAAAAACTTTCAATGTGCCATTAAAGACATTCAACTTGGGTGGAGTTTGACAGCAGGATTTTTATTTATTGTTTATTTATTGTTTTAATAGATTCCTTTTCTACATTCTAAAATCATTGCTTGTTTAATATTGTTGTTGTTTAAATATTTAAGATATTTGTATTACACTTTGTTTTATGACATTTGTGCTTTATAGCACTTTGGTGTAACATTAAGTTACAATAACATGATGGCTGTGTCAGAAATGGATTCATCAAAGGCAGAGGGATCTTTAACTCACTGCTAAAAAAAGTCTCCAGAGTAGCAGTGTCTCATCAATGTTTTAGCACTGCTGCCCTCTGCTGAGGACAGCTGAAGTGACATTTAAACGCTCCTGAAATGTGGATATTTGTTGTATAACTGGCTGTATGTACATGAGCCATATATTGTATGCTCCAGAGCTTACATCACTGCTGCTGCAGCATCATTGTATATTTTTACATGTACAATGCTGAGACTGCTAGTGTTTCACAGTTTCTTGCTTCACTGACAATTTGAAAGACTTATCAAATATTAACAGAAACAAAAGAAAATGTTTTTTTACGCTTGTTTTAGTTTGAAGTCCTCCAACCTTCAGGCTGACACCTGTAGGTCACACCAAAACTGTATAATTGTTTTTCATCTCTTTCCAAAACAGTTTTTATCATATCAGAAGGGGTTTTGACTGTAATGCATTTGGAAACTCACCTTTGTGTTGAGACTGTGCCTGCAGCAATGAAACCCTCTGAAAGTCAGGGATGAAAGTAAAACACCCCATACTTTAAACTGGACCAAACAGTGCATGAAGCACTGTGTTTGGAGGTTAGGGAACTTTAAAACTTTTATGAAGGAAAAGTTAACTCTCTTTCTTCACGGTGAAACAGGTCTCAGCAGACAGTTTGGATTTTCTAACTTTGTACAACATTTCAAGCTTATGTGCAAAACTCCAAACTAGCATTTAGTTACACAACAATTACTTAAAAGTACTTGAACCTTTTCAAATTTTACAGGGATTTTGTGTGACGGACAAACACAAAGAGGTGCTTGACTCTAAAATGAAGGGGAAATACACAAAGTTTTACATATTTTTTTACAAGTAAAAATAAGCATGTGTTCGTTTGTATTCAGCCCCTTTACTCTGAAACCTCTAACAAAAATCTTGTGCAACCAATCACTTTTAGAATCGCTTCTCTAATTACCAAAGTGTAGTTAACCCCCCTGCAAAAGCATAACCCAGCCCACAGGACTGACGCGTGTTCTGTCCCCCTCAGTTTATTCAGAAGACAGAAGGGGGCTCACAGCCTCCTCTCTACATCCCACAGCACACCGCTACAGGCTGACTTGTGAAAAAAAAAAAAAAAAAAGCTCTAACAGGGTTTGAGCAGGGTTAGAGTTTATGTAACCCTGCGGTACCTTGGCTCACACAAAGCTGAAAATGGTTTCCAGTGGCTAAAGGGCGATTCCACCCAATTTTTCACTGCCAATTTATTGAAGTTTCACAAATCAAAAAAAGGTTTCACAAATCACAAACTTGGATTTAAACTCTCTACTAATCCAGTACAAGTTTGAAGAGTCTAAGTGTTATAGCTTTAAATCTGGATAAGGCCTAGTGTGGTCCAGATGCATAAAAAATTGCAATAAAATAAAATAAAATAAAACAAAATAAAAAGTTAATTGAATTTTCACATGTCAAATAAAGTTTTCACGAATCACAAATTATATTTTTGATAATCTGTGTAGAATACTCTATTAGAATAATCTACTCTACTCTGTAATACCCTAATCCAGGTTTGATAAATCTAAGAACTTTAGTTTTTACACTAGAGCAGATTAAAGATGCTCAAGGTAGTGAAAAATTAGGTGGATTCACCCTTTCAGCCATTTCCTAAAATTTTCTCAAAGTATGTTCTTGAATGGGTGTTCTTAAATGTAATTTGATTGTGCTCCATACAATGACAATAAAGGCGTCATCAATCAAAAGCTACAATCAAAAACCAACATCAGCTCTGTGTGGCTCAGTAATAATAAACTGACAGCACTGCTCACAGTATTAAACATCAACAAACAACTTTATTACAAAGGGAATATTGAAGATGACGCAGAACAGCAATTTTGTAGTTTGTTTTAAAAATACTGAACCAGAAAGAGGATCGCTAAAGTTAATTAATTCAGTTTGTTTTGTGATTGATTTGAGGCAAATGTCCATGCGTTGCGCTTGAAGCTCAGACTACTACTACTCTCACACACCCCTGAGCTTCAGTTACCACCCTCACTATTTTTACCTTTTCTCTGGGTTCTTCTACCACTAATCTGACACTCGGGTCCGTTCAGCTTCTGTCAGA